GCTCAGAATTGTGTACAGTGAGGAAGAGCTAACAGAGGGCGGTCAGGAACGGGGGGAGACAGAATCCGCCTCTTCAGCAGTCAGGCGAAGAAGTACTGGCGAGGAGAGTGGCTCGGTACTCCGGTCTAGAGACAGGTCTGTCTCCTGACCCACACGCAGCCGAGGGGGCTAGTAGTGAGGCGGAGACCCTAATTGATGATGATGAGGCTGATCGCACTTGGCAGAATTGAGGGACACAGAATTGTTACTCAGGGACACAGAATCGTTACTCAGGGACACAGAATTGTTACTGAGGGACACAGAATCGTTACTCAGGGACACAGAATCGTTACTCAGGGACACATTGTTACTCAGGGACAGAATTGTTACTGAGGGACACAGAATTGTTACTCAGGGACACAGAATCGTTACTCAGGGACACAGAATCCTTTCTGAGGGACACAGAATCGTTACTCAGGGACACAGAATTGTTACTCAGGGACACAGAATTGTTACTGAGGGACACAGAATCGTTACTCAGGGACACAGAATCGTTACTGAGGGACACAGAATCGTTACTCAGGGACACAGAATTGTTACTCAGGGACACAGAATCGTTACTCAGGGACACAGAATTGTTACTCAGGGACACAGAATTGTTACTCAGGGACACAGAATCGTTACTCAGGGGGACACAGAATCGTTACTGAGGGACACAGAATCGTTACTCAGGGACACAGAATCGTTACTCAGGGACACAGAATTGTTACTCAGGGACACAGAATCGTTACTGAGGGACACAGAATCGTTACTGAGGGACACAGAATCGTTACTCAGGGACAGACACAGAATCGTTACTCAGGGACACAGAATCGTTACTCAGGGACACAGAATCGTTACTCAGGGACACAGAATTGTTACTCAGGGACACAGAATCGTTACTCAGGGACACAGAATCGTTACTCAGGGACACAGAATCGTTGAGGGACATTAAAGAGTATGTCAGACAACACGTTACTCAGAGGAGTGGCAGAGGAGGCAAGAATTTAGGAGCGAGCAGGCGTGGACACAGAGGAAGGGGTCGAGGCAGCACTAGTCGCAGCCAGTGGCCAGTGTTCCCAGGTGACACAGTGGTCGTGTCTACTCAGGGACAACCCTGCCGAATTGGTTACTCGGTCGACACAGAATTGTTACTCAGGGACACCTACAGCCAACGGTCGGTGGTTACTGAGGAAGACTAACAGAAATGTTACTCAGGAACGGGGGGAGATTGTTACATCCGCCTCTTCAGCACTCAGGGACACAGAATTGTTACTGGCGAGGGACACAGGCTCGGTACTCAGGGTCTACAGAATCTGTTACTCAGGGACACACGAATTGTTACTCGAGGGGGCTAGTAGTGAGGCGGAGACACAGAATTGTTGATCAGATGACACAGAATCGTTACTTGGCAGAATTGAGGGACACAGAAGAATCGTTACTCAGGGACACAGAATCGTTACTCAGGGACACAGAATTGTTACTGAGGGACACAGAATCGTTACTCAGGGACACAGAATCGTTACTCAGGGACACAGAATTGAGGGACACAGAATTGTTACTCAGGGACACAGAATCGTTACTCAGGGACACAGAATTTGAGGGTTACTCAGGGAGAATTGTTACTCAGGGACACAGAATTGTTACTCAGGGACACAGAATCGTTACTGAGGGACACAGAATCGTTACTCAGGGACACAGAATCGTTACTCAGGGACACAGAATTGTTACTCAGGGACACAGAATCGTTACTCAGGGACACAGAATCGTTACTCAGGGACACAGAATTGTTACTGGGACACAGAATCGTTACTCAGGGACACAGAATCGTTACTCAGGGACACAGAATCGTTACTGAGGGACACAGAATCGTTACTCAGGGACACAGAATTGTTACTCAGGGGACACAGAATCGTTACTCAGGGACACAGAATCGTTACTCAGGGACACAGAATCGTTACTCAGGGACACAGAATCGTTACTCAGGGACACAGAATCGTTACTCAGGGACACAGAATCGTTACTCAGGGGACACAGAATCGTTACTGAGGGACACAGAATCGTTACTCAGGGACACAGAATTGTTACTCAGGGACACAGGACACAGGGACACAGAATCGTTACTCAGGGACACAGAATCGTTACTGAGGGACACAGACAGAATCGTTACTCAGGGACACAGAATCGTTACTCAGGGACACAGAATCGTTACTCAGGGACACAGAATCGTTACTCAGGGACACAGAATCGTTACTCAGGGACACAGAATCGTTACTCAGGGACACAGAATTGTTACTGAGGGACACAGAATCGTTACTGAGGGACACAGAATTGTTACTCAGGGACACAGAATTGTTACTCAGGGACACAGAATCGTTACTCAGGGACACAGAATCGTTACTCAGGGACACAGAATTGTTACTCAGGGACACAGAATTGTTACTCAGGGACACAGAATCGTTACTCAGGGACACAGAATCGTTGAATTAAAGAGAGTATGTCAGACAACACGCAGAGGAGTGGCAGAGGAGGCAATGTTTCAGGAGCGAGCAGACGTGGCAGCAGAGGAAGGGGTCGAGGGCAGCACTAGTCGCAGCCAGAGGCCAGTGCTCCCGGTGTCATCCAGCGGTCGTGTCTCCACCGACAACCCTGCCATCATCGATTGGTTGGCTCGGTCGTCTTCCTCTTCCCAGGTCACCTCTGACACCTACAGCCAACGGTCGGTGGGTACGTCAGACACAACCGTTAGTTGGCATGGCCCGGGAGCAAGCCCACTGAAATCACGTGTCCTCTACCTGCCCCTGTCCTTTGGTGTTCCCTCACCAAGCGAAGTATCGCATGCTGTGGGCTCAGCCCCACTGTACAGTGAGGAAGAGCTAACAGAGGGCGGTCAGGAACGGGGGGGAGACATCCGCCTCTTCAGCAGCCAGGCGAGAGAAGTTACTGGCAGGGAGGAGAGTGGCTCGGTAGCCGGTCTAGAGACAGGTCTGTCTCCTGACCACACGCAGCCGAGGGGGCTAGTAGTGAGGCGGAGACCCTAATTGATGATGATGAGGCTGATCGCACTTGGCAGCCTCGTCGTCATCAGGCTATTGCTTCCGTAATCATCAGGAGAAGAGGGTGCCAGCTTGGCAGCGAGCAAAACAGTCGGTGGGTTGCCCAGGAGGCAGCAGGGTCGCAGCAGCATGTGTCAGTGGAGGCAAACGGCCACGGAGTAGAGCACCAGCTCCACTGCAGCCTACACCACGGCCAGTAGTGGTGCTGGTGTGCACGGAGGAAGCACACCCTCCTTGTCATAGGCAGCTGGCAGATTACGGAATTCCACAGCATCGCCTGATCTGCGACGTTGCAACAAGGTGGAATTCAACCCTACATATGTTAGACCGCCTTTACGAACAGCGAAAGGCTCATCACCGATTTCCTGATGTTACAAGCGGATAAAGGTACTCCCATGTGTAACTTAGATGTCAGCCATTGGCAGCTCATGCGTGACACCCTGCCGCTTGCTCAGGCCCTTTGAGGAGCCACGCTATTCGTGAGTCGGCAGGACTATGGGATGAACGACGTCATTCCTCTGTTGCACGTCCTGGAACAAATGCTGTTAACAATGGCTGGTCAGGGTGCGGTAGACGTGGCGCACAGATCTCAACGCCACATGACCCCTGTGGGGGCAGGACAGGAAGAAGAGGAGGAGGTAGAGGAGGACATTGGTGCTCAGGAATTATTGAGTGAAATGGGTGGTTTTTCCACTCAGCGGACAGGAGTGGAGGAGCAGGAGCATCTGGTAGAGGAGGAGGAGGAGACAGAGGACCCAGACGCACCGTGGCAGTATGCTGTGGAGATGGAGGCAGGGAGTCCCTCGCATTCCTTGGCACAAATGGCCCATAGCATGCTCGGTTGCTTGCGTAGCGACAGCCGAATAATAACCATCAGACAGAGGGATGACTTTTGGCTGTCCACCTTGTTGGACCCTCGCTACCGTTCAAAAATGGTGGCCTTTTTCACACCTGCTGAGAGGGAGGCCAAAATAACGTACTATAAAAACCACCTATGTAGTCAGTTGGTCTCTGCCTTTCTGCGCCAACGTCCATCCTCAGACACTGTGGGCCCTGTGCGCTCGCGTTCCGCTGCCATGGCAGCAGGGGGGAGGGGTGGGGTGGTAGGAGCAGTGGCAGCTCCACCAGCAGCGGCTGCCTCAGTCTGCAGTCGATGATGAGTAGCTTTCTTCACCAGCGCAGTGAGGAAACTACTAACCAGCCGCGCAGCAGCAGCAGCATCAGGTGGACCTGGAGCAGGACCTCAAACAACAGGCTTGGGCCTACTTGGACAGCACCCTGCCAACCGAGGTAGACAATCCCCTTGACTACTGGGCAACATCGCCAAACTTGACCTTTGGCCCCAACTAGCTGAATTTGCCCTTGAAAGGCTGTCATGCCCGGCCAGTAGCGTGGCATCGGAGCGTAACGTGTTTAGTGCGGCAGGAGGTATTGTAACTCCGCGGAGGACACGACTGTCCACCCAAAGTGTGGAGAGACTCACGTTTGTGAAAATGAATCAGGCGTGGATTAGTCTGGATTTCAAACCACCAGTTCCTGACACAACTGACTTAAATGCCATGAATCATGCCCCAAACATGTTATTATTTTTAACATAGGCCTCTGTATGGCCTTCAATTTAAGCTGCTTACGCTTCGCCACTCTGCCATGGGCCCCTGTACCGCCTCCTCTTGCTGCTGCCAGGTCCAGAGTGTGTCATGGGTCCCTGTACGGCCTCCCATTGCTGCTGTCTCCATCGCCACACTCTGCCATGTGCCACTTTCAGGTCTCCTCACACTGCTGGTGGGTTCCATTTTGTCATAGGGTGCTGGCAGATTACGGGCCTCCATTGCTGCTGCCAGGCCCGTAATCTGCCATGGGCCCCCGTACCGACTCCTCATGCTGCTGCCAGGCCCGTAATCTGTCATGGGCCCCTGTACCGCCTCCTCATGCTGCTGCCAGGTCCAGAGTGTGTCATGGGTCCCTGTACGGCCTCCCATTGCTGCTGTCTCCATCGCCACACTCTGCCATGTGCCACTTTCAGGTCTCCTCACACTGCTGGTGGGTTCCATTTTGTCATAGGGTGCTGTATGGCCTCCCATTGCTGCTGCCAGGCCCGTAATCTGCCATGGGCCCCCGTACCGACTCCTCATGCTGCTGCCAGGCCCGTAATCTGTCATGGCCCCTGTACCGCCTCCTCATGCTGCTGCCAGGTCCAGAGTGTGTCATGGGTCCCTGTACGGCCTCCCATTGCTGCTGTCTCCATCGCCACACTCTGCCATGTGCCACTTTCAGGTCTCCTCACACTGCTGGTGGGTTCCATTTTGTCATAGGGTGCTGGCAGATTACGGGCCTCCCATTGCTGCTGCCAGGCCCGTAATCTGCCATGGGCCCCCGTACCGACTCCTCATGCTGCTGCCAGGCCCGTAATCGTAATCTGTCATGGGCCCCTGTACCGCCTCCTCATGCTGCTGCCAGGTCCAGCAGTGTGTCATGGGTCCCTGTACGGCCTGGCAGACCTCCCATTGCTGCTGCCAGGCCCGTAATCTGCCATGGGCCCCCGTACCGACTCCTCATGCTGCTGCCAGGCCCGTAATCTGTCATGGGCCCCTGTACCGCCTCCTCATGCTGCTGCCAGGTCCAGAGTGTGTCATGGGTCCCATGTACGGCCTCCCTGTATTGCTGCTGTCTCCATCGCCCACACTCTGCCATGTGCCACTTTCAGGTCTCCTCACACTGCTGGTGGGTTCCATTTTGTCATAGGGTGCTGGCAGATTACGGGCATCCCATTGCTGCTGCCAGGCCCGTAATCTGCCATGGGCCATGGCCTCCTCATGCTGCCCCGTACCGACTCCTCATGCTGCTGCCAGGCCCGTAATCTGTCATGGGCCCCTGTCAGGCCTCCTCATGCTGCTGCCAGGTCCAGAGTGTGTCATGGGTCCCTGTACGGCCTCCCATTGCTGCTGCCAGGCCCGTAATCTGCCATGGGCCCCCGTACCGACTCCTCATGCTGCTGCCAGGCCCGTAATCTGTCATGGGCCCCTGTACCGCCTCCTCATGCTGCTGCCAGGTCCAGAGTGTGTCATGGGTCCCTGTACGGCCTCCCATTGCTGCTGTCTCCATCGCCACACTCTGCCATGTGCCACTTTCAGGTCTCCTCACACTGCTGGTGGGTTCCATTTTGTCATAGGGTGCTGTATGGCCTCCCATTGCTGCTGCCAGGCCCGTAATCTGCCATGGGCCCCCGTACCGACTCCTCATGCTGCTGCCAGGCCCGTAATCTGTCATGGGCCCCTGTACCGCCTCCTCATGCTGCTGCCAGGTCAGAGAGTGTGTCATGGGTCCCTGTACGGCCTCCCATTGCTGCTGTCTCCATCTCCACACTCTGCCATGTGCCACTTTCAGGTCTCCTCACACTGCTGGTGGGTTCCATTTTGTCATAGGGTGCTGTATGGCTCCCATTGCTGCTGCCGGGCCCGTAATCTGCCATGGGCCCCCGTACCGACTCCTCATGCTGCTGCCAGGCCCGTAATCTGTCATGGGCCCCTGTACCGCCTCCTCATGCTGCTGCCAGATCCAGAGTGTGTCATGGGTCCCTGTACGGCCTCCCATTGCTGCTGTCTCCATCGCCACACTCTGCCATGTGCCACTTTCAGGTCTCCTCACACTGCTGGTGGGTTCCATTTTGTCATAGGGTGCTGGCAGATTACGGGCCCCCATTGCTGCTGCCAGGCCCGTAATCTGCCATGGGCCCCCCGTACCGACTCCTCATGCTGCTGCCAGGCCCGTAATCTGTCATGGGGCCCCTGTACCGCCTCCTCATGCTGCTGCCAGGTCCAGAGTGTTTCATGGGTCCCTGTACGGCCTCCCATTGCTGCTGCCAGGCCCGTCAATCTGCCATGGGCCCCCCGTACCGACTCCTCATGCTGCTGCCAGGCCCGTAATCTGTCATGGGCCCCTGTACGCCGGCCTCATCCATGCTGCTGCCAGGTCCAGAGTGTGTCATGGGTCCCTGTACGGCCTCCCATTGCTGCTGTCTCCATCGCCACACTCTGCCATGTGCCACTTTCAGGTCTCCTCACACTGCTGGTGGGTTCCATTTTGTCATAGGGTGCTGGCAGATTACGGGCCTCCCATTGCTGCTGCCAGGCCCGTAATCTGCCATGGGCCCCCGTACCGACTCCTCATGCTGCTGCCAAGCCCGTAATCTGTCATGGGCCCCTGTACCGCCTCCTCATGCTGCTGCCAGGTCCAGAGTGTGTGTCATGGGTCCCTGTACGGCCTCCCATTGCTGCTGCAGGCCCGTAATCTGCCATGGGCCCCCGTACCGACTCTCCTCATGCTGCTGCCAGGCCCGTAATCTGTCATGGGCCCCTGTACCGCCTCCTCATGCTGCTGCCAGGTCCAGAGTGTGTCATGGGTCCCTGTACGGGCTCCCATTGCTGCTGTCTCCATCGCCACACTCTGCCATGTGCCACTTTCAGGTCTCCTCACACTGCTGGTGGGTTCCATTTTGTCATAGGGTGCTGTATGGCCTCCCATTGCTGCTGCCAGGCCCGTAATCTGCCATGGGCCCCCGTACCGACTCCTCATGCTGCTGCCAGGCCCGTAATCTGTCATGGGCCCCTGTACCCGCCTCCTCATGCTGCTGCCAGGTCCAGAGTGTGTCATGGGTCCCTGTACGGCCTCCCATTGCTGCTGTCTCCATCGCCACACTCTGCCATGTGCCACTTTCAGGTCTCCTCACACTGCTGGTGGGTTCCATTTTTTCATAGGGTGCTGTATGGCCTCCCATTGCTGCTGCCAGGCCCGTAATCTGCCATGGGCCCCCGTACCGACTCCTCATGCTGCTGCCAGGCCCGTAATCTGTCATGGGCCCCTGTACCGCCTCCTCATGCTGCTGCCAGGTCCAGAGTGTGTCATGGGTCCCTGTATGGCCTCCCATTGCTGCTGTCTCCATCTCCACACTCTGCCATGTGCCACTTTCAGGTCTCCTCACACTGCTGGTGGGTTCCATTTTTTCATAGGGTGCTGTATGGCCTCCCCATTGCTGCTGCCGCTCCACGCCACACTGTGGCTCCACACTCCTGGTTTTGGCCCCGTGACTGCCCAAATGAGTGAAGTGTGCGGTGATTCTAAGATCGACGGCACTCATCTGCATGTCATACTGACTGACAGTATTATTTCTCTTCCCCAGCAGACTCCAAGGGCATTTAAATTAAAGGTACAGTGTTCTGCACTAATATAAAGGCTCTCTGAAGCCTAGAAACACCCTTTTTATAAGTTAAATTCGCAGCGAATATATTTGACTCGAATCGAATTTATTCCGCGAATTCGCCGAATCAGCCGAATCGAATTTTTGAATAATTCGCTCATCTCTAGTCACCACCACATTATGCTACTTTGTGGTGGTGTTATTGTATTTGTTCGCACCCATTCAAATGTCCTTTGTATATGTCATGTTTACATGAGGGGCATATGTTTATTTAATTATTTTCATTGTCATGGTTCATCGTTTATACACTAAGTAGCGCAGCACCCTGTCACTTTTCATTTGTTCTCACTATTTTGGAACATAGTTTGGTGTTTGTGGCAACTTTTTTTGGGTCATTGCAGTCAGGGAGGTAGCACAGGAGGACCACTTTTACATAGTGCCTCAATATTGGTGGCAATGGGTGAGATACCACCCCAATGTTGTTTCAGTGGAAGTATAGTGCCCCACCATTGTAGTGCCCCCATTAATGGTGTAATTGGGATCAATAGTGCCCCTGCAGTCATTTTATTGGGAGTAAGAGTACCCCATCTTGGTGTCAGGAAATGTATCCTATAGTGGGTGTCAGCCCAAGAGCTGGGTAAAGGCAAGGAAAGGGCCCACTGCTGCCGTTTGAAGACCACTGCTTTAAACTAGACGTTACATGGCATATGTATGGAATGCTGCCAGAATCAAAGGTAACAGATTGCAATTTTCAGAATGTTTATAGGTGTCTTTATTTTTCTAAGAATCTATGTCAAGGATAAAAATAATTCCTCCAATGTTAGTGAATATTGTGGAGCCTCCAATCCTAACACAATCTGCAATCTATTTTTTTAAAAAGTTGAGAACTGAAAGTTGAACCCCATTCCCTTGTACTCTACTTTTGTGAGCATATGCACAGATGACTGAAAATCTGTAAAAAAAAAAAAAGGCTGTGTGTTTTTGGACAAGATTGCTGAACATAGATGCCAAACTTGAACAAACAGAAGTTGGAATATGTTGGTAGACATGTGCAAAAATTCAAAATTCAGACAACGTTTTTGTTATTCGGAAATTCGGATGTATCTGAATTTCAGAATCACAATAGTAATGAATTTCAAAGAATCCAAAATAAATTATAACAAAATGAATTCTCCGAATTTGAAAATGAATTTGACAATGAATTTGAATTAGAAAATGAATTCAAATTCAAAATTGAATCATATTGCAATAAATACAGTAAGGTATAAGTGAAATAAGATGATTCCTACTAAGGTGGCTTTAGAGAATAGAATATAAAAGAATAGAATAGAATAAAACAGAATAGAGAAGCATAGAATAGAATTGAATATAAAAGAATAGAATAAAACAGAATAGAATAGAAAAGAATAGAAAATAAAGAAATAAAAAAGAATAGAAAAGATTAGAATACAAAGTAAAAAGAATAGAATAGAGTAGAGTATAGAATACAAAAATAATGTATGGATTAGAATAGAATAGAATAAAATAGAACAAATACAGCCGTCCTACAAAATTCAAATTTCGAATCGATTTGAAAATAACTATACAAAACAAATCCAAATATATTAAATGAATTCCAAAAATGAATCATTCTAACATAACAAATATGATGAAACAAAAGTATTAACTTAACAAATGAATTTGAAAGAAAACTAATTTTTCTATTATGCACATCTCTGTATGTTGATATATATAAACAAAATATGTTTTAACCATAGGATTTTTTGTTAAATAAAATGTGTATAAAACTACCAAAAACAGCTAAAATGTTGGAATTGGTTTAGAAATGGCTTATTGAAGATTTGTGAATTCCCAGGTAAAAAAAAATATTCTTTTATAAATAGGGTGAAGAAATGCTTAACAGAAAATCATGAAAAAGTGTCCTGCGCAGCTATTGCCCCTAGAAAATTAACCCACCCAACCATTTCCTTCAAGTGCTCTACTCTACAGTAGTTAGTCCTGGTCAACGTAATATAGGAGACGTAATGCTACATTTTATGTGGTCTGTCTTAACATCTGTGGAATTCTAATGTGAACTGTTGACTGTTTCCAAAGGTATTCCACAAGTACCACCAATATCTTGTTCAGATGAGCAATGAGCTATGTCAGGCAGATGCAGCTCATCATCCCACATTTTCACACTTTAGCACACATTTGACAAGCTCCATTCATTTATATGATAAATGCTACTGTTATCCACACTCAGCATGGGTAAGCACTCTCGAAGTCAGCAGTCCAAAAATATGTAGTAATGTATATTCTTACTTGTCTTCTGTCCTGCGCAGCACATTGAAGGCTATCACCCCCTCTCTTCTTACCATTACCTTTTTACAGCGCTGAGCAAACCCTTTGGTGCTATATAAATACTGTATAATAATAATACTCTTAG